AGATCCCTTCACATACTTTTACCTTTCTTTTCCATAAATACTTAGAGATTCCTCTTGAATCAAAGCAACATCTCAAAGCACAGTTCAGTTGGGAGTGGAGAAGAGTCCTGATTTGCATGAACTATCAACAGCAAACTGCTGAAACATCCCCTGTGAATAAACTTCAGGAGTAGCCAAGAACCCTTCATTACAAGTGCTCTTTCTAGGCACATCCAAATGGTGAGTTTGAGGCGAACCATTTGTTTGATGTGGTCTTTAGTTTTGTTAGGGGAAACAAATATTAATGCAGCTTTATACATCACCTTTAATTTTCATATCGGACTGCCAAGTACAAAAACAAAAAGGGAATATACTGCTACAGTGATCTAACATGGATTAGAAATGCCACATCAGAACCACTGAAGACCACAAAACAGTAATTTAGCCTTCATGCCCTCAATTTTTTAAGGCTGCAGTTCTAAATATAACTACTATAGAATCAATCCCAGTGGGATTTCTCAGTAACTAAATATTGAATATGACTGTATGGTCAGTGTTGATCTAACAGTTCCAAAATAAGAGGGCAAATGTTTTGGATTTCTTTCCAAAACATGAGGAAGAAAGCTCAGCCAGCTTTCCCCTCACCTACTACTGATCATGCTAACTGGGAATGATGGGAGTTGTATTCAAATGCCTCTGAAGAGCACCAGATTTGGGAAGGCTGAATTAAGCACACACCATCCTTTTATTGAAATAAATCTAACAAAGATGTGGGTTTCTAGTAGTTAGAATGATGGCAGAACATCATCTTGAACAAGGCACTGATTGTGGGCTCCACTGCCACTCTGCCATATTTATATCTCAGTTTGTCTCCAATGTTTTCCTATGTTCCCTGCTTCTAGTAGAGCAGGGCTGTAAACATGGAATGTATGGGCTTCTAGATATTATTAGATTTTAACTCCCATAACCTCCCTTCACCATTGGCTGTGTTGAGGAGTGCTAACAGGAGCTGCAGTCCATTATTAGCTGATGGGCTACATGTTCTCTAAGAACCATTGTGGTGTAGTGGTTTGAATGTTGAACTATGGGTCTAGAGATTCCTTGGATTCCCAGGATTTTTTTTGTCATGGAAGCCCACTGGGTGACCTTGGGTGAGTCACACACTCTCAGCTCCATAAACCCCCATGATAGGCCTTAGGGTTGCCATAAGTTGGAAATGACTTGAAGGCACACAACAACAAATATGTTCTCTACCCACATCCTAGAGCAGGTTAGTATGCTAAAAACTCTTCCTGGTCCTTCAGAAATGTGAATGCAAGGCAATCAAAACAAATAATGCAAACAATGTTCATCACTCTGTTGATAATAGGGCGTTATCACACGGGGGACATCTGTTGGTTAATCCACACAAATCCCAAACAAAAACTGAATTTGTGCCTCATGATTTCACACGATGTCACACAGAAACTGGTATTATCCAAGATCTTTTTAATTTCAGGAGTTTAGAGGAAATGCATTTGTGAAATTACAGTAATTGCGCATTTACTGTAATGTGAAAAGCAAATACGCATGGACAATTCTCTTTTAAAACCTGGAAGAGGGCCAAGAGGAGGAGGAGGAGGAGGGGCCTCCAGGGAGGGAGAGTCCCGGGCTCCTGCCATGCAGGGAAGGCAAGGCAAGGCAAGGCAAAGAGAGGGAAGTTTGGGACGGAGAAGTTTGGCATTTGAGATGGAGGGAAAAGAAGGGGAAAGAAGGCTTCCCTCGCAGCAGCTGTGGGTGGATGTGGGTGCAAGTGTGGGGCATGCTTGTTGAGCAACTTGGAGATCCATCTCACCATGAAGTTCTGCCCTGCAGGTCC